AGTTAAAGTGATGTACATCCACCGCACAGCCCTCATCCTTAGGATCCAGGAACCTGGAAGAGACTCAGTGGCTCACTGATCTGACTGCTTGAGTGACACTGACCTGAGTGTGATGGTCTTGATTTACTCATTTGTACCATTGTATGGAAGCACAGAAATTCAGGATGCTACAAGTAGAGTAAGTAGTTACAGTATATGACCTGCACGCACCTGGTCTGACAGGGCTGGACTTTGGGTGATTTGGGTGGCTTGTTTGCCTCAACTGCAAGAAGCTGGATGGAACCATTATCTGATGCAACAGCAAGGTAATGTGACCCCTGACAAAAGGTCAGTGTTTTCACATGGCCTCCAATCCGAGAATACGTAAGCACAGACCTGAAACAATCACATTTTCAATCATCCCAGTTCACATTACAGTAAAACAACAACCTAGACAATTTAGAGACATTATATAGATATTATATACCGTGTGGTGGTCGTCTTGCCCTCCATTTTCTGGCTGTCCCAGATCTTTACAGTTCCATCATTGGAGCATGTAGCAAAGATCGAGTGCTCATCGGAGACTCTGATTCGGTTCACGGCAGATTTGTGCTCGTGGAGATGAGCCACTAGAAGACCTTTTGGATGCCACCCTGCAATGTAAAAGCTGTAGTTACCAAAGTGGAAATAACCTGTGTGAGGCACACAAGCTAGAAAAACCTCAATCAACTCATTTAAAGTAGTTCAACCACAGTAAAACCACCCTTTTCAAAAAGCAGTTAGTTACACTAAGCCACTAACAAAAAGTTACTTAATGCAGCAATATATTTTAAATAACTTCATGATATTCAAAATTTGATCTTAAGCATATTTAGGATATCCTCAATTAGGGTGAAAACATCAAAATTACCATTACCATTCAAAGGTTTGTAATATATAATATATTACAGTATATTACAATATAATTTATTTATGTGTGTGTATATATATATATATGTATATGTGTATATATGTGTATACGTATACGTGTATATACAGTATATATATATATATATATATATATATATATAGAGAGAGAGAGAGAGAGGGGGGGGGGCCTTTGAGTCAAAAAGGTTGAGATTTCACTGTCCTGTAATATATAACTGAGTCAAAAAACAATGAACAAATATAAAATCCTGCAGAACAATTCAAATTGTTTTTTTAATCATTTACACAAACCATGAAAGTTACATTTAGCTTTTAATTACTTTACCTTTTATTTTCCACTTAAAAATTAAAATGCCATTTTAAATGAAAAAAAAAATAGGTCAGCTGCAGATGATTTCTGTACAAGATCTAGCAAGCAGAGGCTAGACAGCCACATAATGTATTAGCGAGGTGACATGTGACCGCTGTACCTGGTGGTGGAGGCCTGCTCTCCCATTCTGCGCTCTCCATCATCTGTTTGGCCATGCGCGAAATTGTTTTTTTAATCATTTACACAAACCATGAAAGTTACATTTAGCTTTTAATTACTTTACCTTTTATTTTCCACTTAAAAATTAAAATGCCATTTTAAATGAAAAAAAAAAATAGGTCAGCTGCAGATGATTTCTGTACAAGATCTAGCAAGCAGAGGCTAGACAGCCACATAATGTATTAGCGAGGTGACATGTGACCGCTGTACCTGGTGGTGGAGGCCTGCTCTCCCATTCTGCGCTCTCCATCATCTGTTTGGCCATGCGCTCTGCACTGCATTGCTCTCTTTTCTGCTGTACCAGCTGCTGTAGCTCTGCCTTGCATGTGGTGATGCGCCGTTGGTACGTGGACGCTCCGGTTACAGACTGTAACACTTGAATAGTAGGGAGTGCTGTGGTTTTCCTGGGCTGCATGGCTCCACCTTCAGGAATCTGCAATGAAGAGTAATGGGGGGCGGTTTAAGATTTTAGTATTTTATAATTATTATTTAGGAACAACATGCTAATACATTTAATCTGGGAAAATCCAGCACATTCCTGCATGTTTGTGCAAACATGATGGAAAATATCAGATGACTGATATGATTCAAAGCCTTTACAGACTACAAAGCTACAACATGGACAAATGCACACTAAAAAAGGTGTTGATGAAGTAAAGATGATGGAAGAGGCTGAATGGAGAGGGCAGAGAAAGAGCAGGGGAGGGACGATAGCACACTGTCAGCTCAGCGGTCGACCTGGGCTGAGGATGGAACATGAGGGAGGTTAAGAGGCTGTGAGGAACTCTCAGATCGCAGGCGCTCTCTGGCCAGAGTTCCGTTGGGCTCCCCACCACCGCTCGGAACTAGAACATTAGGTACCGTCGAGGGCGTCTGCGCCAAGCTGGGAGGGTCCAGAGAACCAAACATGCTCTTCCACTCTTCATTCAAGTTGGAGTCCTGTTTCGTATGTTTGCGAGCTGTCAGAAGAGAAACAAAATTGACCCATTTTAAAAGTGGTTTTGATAGAAAATGCATTTCTGGTTTCTAAAACATTTGATGCTCAGTTAAAGTGTTAACATGCGGACTGACTGACACGTGTAAAAGAAATCAGGCAATTGATTTAGTCAGCACAGTGACATATAGTACTTAAGTAAATTAAAATTAGTTCCAAAAGTGAATATTTTCATAGAACAGAAGCAAACAGAATAAAACTTCTCAAATGCACTAGAACTGCACTAGGGGACTCTACAATATGTTGAGAGCATTAGCTCTCAGCAAATAAATCTGGAATATTTTAAACCAACTTCATCTATAGCTACAGTTTTACAAGCCCAGCTTAAAATTTTTTTTGTCCACACTAGCTCAAAAATTGTGTAAGGACTAATAAAATATAAAGGTATCTTTATCCACAGGAAAGGGGTCCCTCGCAAAGTGATATCTGATCATCATATTTGGGAGCCCTGCTTCGATGCCACCTTCTGCTTCCTTTGCTACTAGGAAATCGGTGAAAATAAATTTATATACACCACCATTTAATGTTTGGGGTCAGCAAGACTTTTAAATGTTTTTGGAAAAAGTCTCACAAAGCCTGCATTTATTTGATTAAAAATACAGTAAAACAGTAATTTTACAATTAAGATATTAAAATTTGAATTAAAAAAAAGAACAACATTTATTATATGAAATAGAAATATTCTGTAACATGTCTTTACTGTCACTTGACAATTTCAATGCATTCCTGCTGAATAAGACAAAAAAAAAATTTCAATGCTAGTGTATAACTGGGCAATCTATGACCTTTTATGACTGAATTAATTTAGTCACTAGCAGCTAGGGCTACACAATTATGACAAAAATCATAATTGTCAATTATTCCCTTGAAATTGTAATTGCGATTATTAATTACAATTACCACAATTTACATTGTTTATACCATTGTTTGAAGCAACTGCATGCCATATTTTTATATGAAAATAAACAAACTGAAAACACTCCGACTGAAAAACCTTTATTGCTTTTCTATCCACCTTTTTCTTTAACGCAGAAGTAAGCCTATGGGTGAGACTTCCGGTTCATTAGACGCTATAGGGAAATAACAAGAAGAATAACAACGTGCAGTAAACGGTAAAACTGTTTGCTCTACAAACCAGTGTGTTCATAATTAAAATAATACATTAAAATAATATGGTAAGACACACCAATTTTCAATATCAAGCAGCAAAAGGAGCGGTTCTGTACAGCTAAAAATAACTGGACACGGATGACGGCAAGAAAAAGGTGGATAGTATTAAGCATCAAATATAAACTATACAGGTGCATCTCACTAAAAAGTGGAAAAGTTAATTTATTTCAGTAATTCAACTCAAATTGTGAAACTCGTGCATTAAATAAATTCAATGCACACAGACTGATGTAGTTTAAGTCTTTGGTTCTTTTAATTGTGATGATTTTGGCTCAAAAATCTCAACAAATTAGAATACTTCATAAGGCCAATAAAAAATTTTTTTTAGTGAATTGTTGGCCTTCTGGAAAGTATGTTCATTTACTGTACATGTACTCAATACTTGGTAGGGGCTCCTTTTGCTTTAATTACTGCCTAAATTCGGCGTGGCATGGAGGTGATCAGTTTGTGGCACTGCTGAGGTGGTATGGAAGCCCAGGTTTCTTTGACAGTGGCCTTCAGCTCATCTGCATTTTTTGGTTTCTTGTTTCTCACAGTACGCCGAATCTCGTGGATTACAATTTGCAACTAGACGGATGCACGGTTACCTCCTCTACAGTCAAATATCTGGGTGTTATATTAGATAGCAACTTGTCTTTATAGTGAATTGGTGGGTTTTTGTTAAATGTGAGCCAAAATCAACACAATTAAAAGAACCAAAGACTTAAACTACTTCAGTCTGTGTGCATTGAATTTATTTAATACACGAGTTTCACAATTTGAGTTGAATTACTGAAATAAATGAATTTTATCACGACATTATAATTTATTGAGATGCACCTGTACATCGGATTGTTTCTTCTTTAAATGAATTTTATTTTTTTTTTAAATATGAATGGTATTATAATGCTATACTAAAAGTAAAATTGAAACCATGGAAAACCCTTAAGATAACCTGTAGAAAGAAAAAACATCTTAAGCACGGAGGATAACATAAGTGGACTTTGAACGATTATGTATTTTTGGCATCCATAATTGTAATCTCGATTAGAAATTCGATATAATTGTGCAGCCATACTGAGCACTCTGAAAGTACACTCCCACTGGTTTGTAACAAACTGACTGCAACAAAAAACATCATGAGCTGTCGTGCAAAACAAAGTGGATTTATCCACATCACACATCTGCCTGTTAACCTGAGTTAGTCAAAGCGAGTGATTATAACTTCAAATAGAGCTCAGCTGCATGAGACCTAAACAATATACCAGAGGCAGAAGGGATGAAGTCTGTATAATTTTTTTTTTTTTTAAATATGAATGGTATTATAATGCTATACTAAAAGTAAAATTGAAACCATGGAAAAACCCTTAAGATAACCTGTAGAAAGAAAAAACATCTTAAGCACGGAGGATAACATAAGTGGACTTTGAATGATTATGTATTTTTGGCATCCATAATTGTAATCTCGATTAGAAATTCGATATAATTGTGCAGCCATACTGAGCACTCTGAAAGTACACTCCCACTGGTTTGTAACAAACTGACTGCAACAAAAAACATCATGAGCTGTCGTGCAAAACAAAGTGGATTTATCCACATCACACATCTGCCTGTTAACCTGAGTTAGTCAAAGCGAGTGATTATAACTTCAAATAGAGCTCAGCTGCATGAGACCTAAACAATATACCAGAGGCAGAAGGGATGAAGTCTGTAAACAAATAAAAATAAAATGCATTCATTTCAAATGGTGACCCAATGACATGAGAAGCATAAATAGATCCTCAAATAACAGAAAGTGTGTCACTCACCTCTCTTGTCTTCAGGCTCCTGCTTAGGCTTGATGAGGTCCACCTGTCGGCCAGTGATGCCCAGTGTACTGAGATCAATGACTCCACTGTGGGCTCCATCACTCAAGTGGCTCTGGTCTATGATGTTGGCTTTGGCCTTGTTGGACTTGAGCATGAAGTCTTTCAGAGCTAAGAGCTTGTCCTCCTCAGCCTCTGTCATTCCCTGAAGGGAATCACATGATAACAGCTTAACTTGATTTATACAAGTGTGACATGAGGCAACATGCCTTATTGTTCCTGAAACAAGACTTCTATTAACCAACCATTGCTCAGGACTAGGGTTAGGGCAAGAGCTATGGATTTTCATAACAGAAATGTTGTTCTAAAACAAAGTAATTATTTCCTCATTTAAAAATGATTTTGCACAAATAAATCTGAACTAGCAGCCTTATACATTTGATCAAATTAAATCAATAGTAATTTAAAAAATAAAAACATGAAACTAACAAATTTTTTTCCTGACCTGTGAAAGAAGTTTCTTAAGCAGCTGGGCAATTGCGGGATCCTCAGGAACAGGGCATTCTGGGATGGAGCCATTGCGCTTTTTTTGGCGGAGTAACAGGTGTCTGAAGAGGCTTCCAATGTCTTTGGAACGCAGTGCATAGTCAAAGATGGAGCGACTTACAGGCTCTTTCAGCACACTGAGCAACACAATCTCCTTATCAATCTGTCCAAAGGCAAAAAGAGAGTTCAACCAAACCAATATGAAAATTGTCATCATTTACTCACCCTCACGTCCTTCCAAACCTGTATAACTTCCTTTCATTCATGAAATGCAAAAGGAGAATTTTATTCAGAGTAGTTGTGACTAATCACCTGTATAATAGGCTGTGTGATGAAAGGGTTGAGATGGGGCATGAGTTTGCAGTAGACGTCAGCGATGTTTAGGTGCTGAGCGACTACAGTGATGAAACCCACAGCTCCATAGCGGATCCACAGATTGGGGTGGCACAAGAAAGGAGCTGTAGGACAATAACGTTTTAAATAATAAATCATATAGAGCAATTACGAAGCACATTATACAACGGCATACAAAAGTACAGAATTTCTCTCACCAATATCACTGACAAACTCGTAGATGTGAGGTTTCTGCAGTAGCCCCAGCTGGCACATGCAAGTGAGAGCATTGAGAGCTTTATAAATGACAAACTCCTCAGCGTCACTCAGGCCTTGCTGCAGAAGAGGCTTCAGGATGGAGGAACTCTGCCAGCCCACATATGCTGCTACACCTGCAGGGAGAAGGAGATTTGGTAACATGTTGCAAGAAACTGATATTATATGAAGTGATGTGACGGCAACCTACCTACTATGCTGTCAAAGAAAGCTCCACGGAGGTGCCAGTCATTCTTGTCGTTGAGGAAGGTGATCATGTGGGAGAGAAGGACATCGTTGGCTTTCTGCCTGCCAAAGAACACGCAGAGGCGCGTGATGCCATTCTCCATCAGTGTCTGTTTGACGATGTTCTCAGGGTCGCTCAGTAAAGTCACCACCTTCTGTTGAACCATCTCATGCAAGGCCTGCAGCTCTTTAGACAAGGGATGGATCATATCCACAGCATTTTAATGACACCATTAGAATGTTTCCATGCAAGCTGTCTATTAAGTGCATAAAGTGGGATCTTACATTTGGATTTAACTTTCTTTTGAGCGTACTATAAAAGTGAGATTTTATTGAAGGACAAACATTTACCTGAATCATAGTTTTCATTGGGGTGAAGCGTTTCTTCTGTGTCCTCCCCATTGAGGTCTTGTTCAGAGCTCAAATTATTCTCCTGCACCAGCTCCAGAAACCGCAGTGCTGTCTCAGCCAAATGCGCTATGTTCTCTATAATATATAATATGATATAATGTAATGAAATATAATGTTCATATGTTTAGGGTTGATTTGTTTGTTTTTGACAAAAAATGTCTTATGATCACCCAGGCTGCACTTTAAAAAAAAAATATATATACAGTAAAAACAGCAATATTTTGAAATATTCTTACAATTTAAAACTGCTTTATATTATATCTTAAATTGTAATCTGTAAAAGATTACATTGCAAAATGTAAAAGTGTATTAGCTGTCACGTTTGTGCAATTTAATGCATCCTTACAGAATAAAAGTATGAATTGTCTCTTTAAAAAAAATCTTACTGAACCCATACTTTTAAACAGTAATATAATATAATGAATTATATTAAAGTATATAAATATGTTTAAGTCAACATAAAATGGCTTTCACAATCCATTTTACTTCTGTGACTTAAGAAATATCAAAGAATTTCCTATTTAAAAGATTTAATTTCTTTAGTTTTATTTAAAATCAAAGACCGATTGGATTGTGAAAACTATTAACACATATAAAAAGAGCAATTTAGATTAGACAATTTAGAAACAATTCATTCAGGCATTTTCTAGTACTAGAATACCTGCATAAGCAAGTCTGACAATTGTGGCTTCATCTTGGGCCAAGTGCGCAATCCCAGGTAAAATGTATTCTGGGTAGATATTGACATCATTGCGAGGAACCTCCTTGACCAGTGCCAGAACTTTAGTCAGTGTGCGGACAGCCTCAGCCCTGACCCGCGGCATAGAGTCATTGCAGAAGTGCAGTAAGTAAGGTGTAATCCTGTCCAGCACAATCTCCACATTCAGCCGGCCAGCCAGATGAAGAATCAGCTCTAGCGCTGCCAGCTTGGAGTCGCAGAAACGCAGTGTCTGAAGACAGGATGTGATCACTGACACCAGCACCACCAGCCCTTGCTCCTTGGATGAACTAAGCTCTTGAGATGCCTTCTCCTGTTTTTCAGTCTTCCCCGTCTGCCCGCCACTGCACAGGTTATTGAGGATGTTCTCCAGGTTCTTACGAATCACCAACACCCTCTCGTCAGCAGACTGGAAGGTTTCCTTGGCAAACTGCGCCATATAGGGCTGAAGGAAGGTATAGAAGATTTCTGGGAAAGCTTTGCCTCGCTGCTGCTTTAGATATTCTTCAGCTGTCAGACGCTTTTCCGGTTCTCGCTGCACCATTTGTGCCACCTGCATAGAGTGGATGAAATTATACGGAGTACTACCCAGTATCTAACTAAGAGTACTAACTAGTATCATATTATTTATCAAATGTGTTGTTTATTATATAATGTATAAAATAAATCACACTACCATTCAAAGGATTGGGGTCAGTAAGATTTTTTAAAAGAAATTAATACTTTTATTCAGCAAGGCCTAATAAAATGTATCAAAAGTGACAGTAAAGACATTCAAAATGTTACAAAAGATTTCTATTTCTGTTCTTCTGAACTTTGTATTCATCAAAGAATCCCGAAAAAAAAGTATCAACGTTTCCACAAAAATATTAACCTACACCACTCCTTTAAACATTAATAATAATAATAATAATAATAATAATAATAATACATGTTTCTTGGGCACCAAATCTGCATATTAGAATAATTTCTGAAAGAGCTTGTGACGCAGAAGACCAGAGGAATGGCTGCTGAAAATTAATATTTGCCATCATGGGAATAAATGTAATTTAAAAATATAATAAAATAGAAAAGTTCTTTTAAATTGTAATAATATTTCACAATATTACTGCTTTTTACTGTATTTCTGATCAAAGAAAAGCAGTCTCCGTAAGCTTAGGAGAATTCAAAAAATTTTCAAGAAACACTTACAATCCCAAATTTTTGAATGGAAGTGTAAACATTTGTAAAAGCTAAATTGAAATAATATACAGTATCAAAAATCTCATAAGAATAGAAAAGCTACCAGTTCTCTTATACTGCGATCTTCAATTTTCATCAGCACTTGTTCAGTTTGGAAATGTCCTTTACGGTAAGCCAGGAGTTGTGAGAGGTCGAAGAGTGGGACACCCTCTGTAAACAACTCTGCAATCACACAACCTATCAAAAGAAAATCAAAAAGAAAGATCTTTGAAAAATGTCATATTAATGCATCGGCTTTAAGCAAACAGAAAACAATATAATGGTGATGGATACCAGCTGAGAAGATGTCCATGGGCTGCTTGAGTTCTCCCCTGGTCCTCTGGCTATTGCTGGAGAGATCCACAAGCGGAGTTGTCTGGTCACTTTCTGTGGCAAACATGCTGCCATCCACAAATCTCTCTGGTGCAATGTAGCACGTTCTCCTCCTGGACGTGTCAAAGAAGTAGTTGAAATCTGCAGGGTTGTCTTCAGGTAAGTATGTAGGTTTAAAACTAGCAAAGTCTGTGAGAAGCACCCAGTTCCAGCTTGTCACCATAACATTCTCTGTTTTAATGTCACCATGACGCACACCAGATTTATGGGCCTGGTCCACAGCATTGAGGAGCTGGAAGGCGATCCACTTCTTCTCCACATTGTTGAGGAACGGCCGCGTACTGATACGGTCATACAAGTTATCCCGAACATATTGTCGAAATAGTATGGCTGCTTTCTCAGTAAGTGTGGCTTTTTGAAAAGGCAGACAGTTCTGACAGGAGTGCAGTCTGATTTTCAGCTCCTCCAGCTCTTGTTTGTAGCTGGTTAGGGGCAGAGAGGGGTCCTGGATCGCAAAGACTTTAACCACAACCAATCCTTCTCTATGTTTCGCCCGGGCCACTTTGAAAAACCGTGTACTGCCCAGACTTTTGTCATATTCATAATCATGGATGTCAGAGAAGTAACTGTCCACTGAAAGAATCTGTGATGGAGCAATTCCAGCCAGCTGGTTCCCCATCTCACTGGATTAGAGATGGTTGTCCTCAAAGACAAATGTATACCTATGATAGATAGATAGAGAGAGAGAGAGAGACAGATGGTTCTGCAGTTCATTACAAAAATCAGATTTATCTTAAAATAATTACTAATAATTGGAGTAGATACATGTAAAGTTTTGTCATATATTTAGGATAATCATCAAATTCAGTATACAGTATTCTTCACATACAGTGTCATGAGACATAAAATGCTGCATCATATCAGTTAGCAATGCTACAAAACATAAAACTCCAAATATTTACATTATTGCAATATTCGCTCGATATAAGTTGGCAGTTATAGCGTACTATGTCACATACATGTGCGCATACATGTACAGCACTGATGTAAAAATAAACGGTTGTTTACCTGATTCTTTGAGCCCAGCGCGCTGTCAACTAACTGGTTAGCAAGAGTTGTTTCCTCCCACCTTACTCAAAATGACATTCTACATTTTGCCCAAGTTAAAACGAACGTTACTAACAAACCTGTCAAATCATACGAACGATACAACATACAGATATTTACATAAAAGAGCAGCTTCGTTTGTTATTATGTGCTAGGAGTGAACCAGAGGTGTGCGTCTCCATTGGCTGATCTGAGATCTGTTCCTCAGCTCATTAGCGATACGCTATTGGATGAAATGCCTGAAGTCTCTGATCCTAGATCAGCCGGCAAACCGGAAACCGGAAGCTATCATTCGGGATTTTTTCGGACTTTAGTTATAGAGTCATTTCAATGCGTCAGAGGTATAGATTCAGAGCTTCCAGTGGATATGGGGAGATCCCTATTTGCGGATGATGAAGCTATATGGAAGAGAGGAAGAAATTGTGAATTTATAAACAATAAATTACAAAAGGGAATTAATCAAGTTGAAGAGTGGGGGACAAAATGGGGATTTAAGTTCTCAGTGGAAAAAACAAAAGTAATGATCTTTACAAATAAAAAGAAGGCTAAAGAATGCAAGGTGGAAATGTATGGAACCATTTTAGAGAAAGTAGAGTGTTTTAGATACTTGGGAGTATATTTTGACACAAAACTAACATGGAGGGAACATATAAAGTACACAGTGTATAAATGTAAAAACCGTGCTTAATGTAATGAGGTGTCTTGCAGGATTGGAATGGGGAGCAAGTTTTTCAGCTCTGAAATATATTTATATTGCACTAATAAGGTCTAAATTAGATAATGGTTGTACTGTGTATGGGTCAGCAGCTAAATCTGTGTTAAATGAATTGGATGTTGTGCAGGGACGAGCTTTAAGAATATGTTTCGGGGCAATCAGAACTTCCCCAGAGTGTGCACTTCAGGTTGAAGCAGGTGAAATGCCTCTATGGCTATGAAGGAAACAACTGGTAGCCAACTATTGGATTAATTGAAGAGAGCATGGGGAAAACCATCCAACGAAAAAGGTGCTACAGAATTGTTGGAAGAAGGAGAGGAGGAAAAAGGAAAGTTTTGGCTGGACAGGAGATTTAATAGCAAAAGAAATGGACATATATGACAAAGAATTTGCTAGTACTGTGGTGTGGACTAACAAACCAATCTGGACAATGGAAAATACAAAGGTGGACATAGAGCTTCTAATAATAAAAGGCAGCAGTAGGAGTACAGATATAGTCAGTGAATATTATAGATATATGGACAATATGTACAAAGATAGTATTCAAATTTTTTACAGATGGATCAAAGGATTTACAAACAGAGGCAACATGATCTGCTGTATATATCCCTACACTGTTAAAAAAAATCCGTAAAATTTACGGTAAAAAGACGGCAGCTGTGGTTGCCTGAATTTTACCGTAAAAAATACAGTAGCAATGTTTTAGGTTTTACAGTTCTAACTTAAATTTACAGTTAAATACCAGTAAGTTCATTAACTGATATAATGTTAGTATACCAACCTATTGAAGTACTGAAATCTGTTTTGTACCTTTGTAATATACTGATAACCACCAAATTACAGACAGTGATGAGAAAGGCACATGATGAACCAAAGCCCATCACAAGCAGCTTTTTAATAATAACATATATAGAAGGTGCACAGTGTCTTTCACACAAACGCTAAACACCATCATGGTAACACACATGAAACTGAAATAAGGCAATAAACATTGATTTAACAACATTAGGTGTAACACACAACCCTAATATACAAAACTGATAAGAAAAAACTAAGAAGAAACATAGTTATTTCAACAAAAAAACATCAAATTTGAAATGTAAAGCAGGGAATTCTGGGAATGTCAATTTATGGTTATTCACTGTAAATTATACGGTCTTTTTCACTTCCAAAAACAGTATACTACCGTAACATTAATGTCCAATACATGTAATGTCCAATACAGTTTTTCACCGTATATAGTAGGGGAATTTACCGTTAACCATTTAACAGGTTTTTAATGTAGCATTTTTACAGTCTTTTACTGTTAAATTCACGGTAATTTTTTACAGTGTAGATATCATGTGGGAGTAAACAAAAGAACATCTGTCTGATTAAGTGTGTATACAGTCGAGTTATATGCTGTATTAATAGCATTAGAATGGATTGAACAATCCAGATGGGACAACGTTGTAATATGTAGTGATTCTGTATCTGCCCTCATGAGTATAAAGTCTGGGGTAACTAGAAATCATCAGGAATTACTAACTAGATTTTATTTACAAATTCAAGAATAAGCAGGCAAGGGAAAAACATCACATACATGTGGGTGCCAGCGCATGTGGGCATCCAGGGAAATTAGAAAGTAGACAGACTGGCAAAAGAAGCAACAAAAAAAAGAACATGTTGACGTCCAAATTAAATGATCAAAAACAGAAGGGAAGAGTTTAGTGTGGAAAAAGATCATGCAAAAATGGCAGCAGCAGTGGGATAATGATATAAAAGGGAGACATCTGTACATGATACAAAAATAAAAGGAAGGAACAAGTCATAAAAAATAGACTGAGGATTGGACATTGCTTGCTAAACACCCAACAGGACTTTGTGATGAATGTCAGGAGGAGGAATCAGTTAAGCACATCTTTATATCATGTAAGAAATATATACAAGAAAGGCAAGAGTTCAAGAATCAGCTACGGGAAATAGGTATAGTAGAGTATAATGTTAAAAATATAGTAACATATGGAAATAATGACCAAGGACAGAGATATTTGTTTAATTTTCTAAGGAGGACTGAACTGGAAGGACGAATTTAATTAAGATATAGTAAGTTAAAGTGAGACAGCACAAAGGTTGTTATAAGTTTTTTACTCCACGCTGGTCTTTATTTGAGGATTTAATCTATGAGATGGAGTTCTTCAGATGAACTGAGGAGGGCAGCAATACGCCTTTGAAGCGTCTAAACTGCCGCTAATCAATCACACAAGAAGAAGAAGAAGAAGTGAGACAGCAGATGGCGTAAAACTCCAATGAAGAAGAAGAAGAATGCGTCAGAGGCGTCCTGAGTCCGACTTTTATTTGTTTATTTGCATGTTTTGACATTGTTAAAGCACGCGTTCTCTCTAAAAAAATATATATTTTTCTTTTGACGCTATGGCGCTGCTCAGATGATTGACCGTGTTAAATAGAGTTTCTCCAAACAAGTGTTTCACACCAGCACGAGTAAGAATTGAATGTTGTCCATGCGCACTTAGATTTTGTGTATGTATTTACAATTTAGTTTCGAAATCTCATAAAATGCTGCCAATATAAAGTAATTTCTTTACCTGGAAGTTTATGTAAATAAACCATATACGAAATGTAAGGTTGTAACTTCACGTGTGCATTTTAGAGAATTGAATTTTAAATAGCTTGTAAAGTGTTATATTTGGTTAAAATGATCTCTTTTAATTGTAATATGTGCACACTGTGCACTGAATGGGAAAATCGTGCCTTTCAAACTTTTTCATTTGAGACGCATTGCATGAATTATACAGTAATTCTCTAGCTTAAGTAGTAGTTGTTTACATTGGCATTGTCCTTATGACCTTTGACCCAGTTGCTATTTATAATTGCTACAATTTATTCCTGACTGAGTTCATGTACTGAAACAAAATGACCCTCTTTGCATCCTTTAACAGATGTTTGGAAATGGGACAA